AATGTTGCCCTGTTCTTATATTTCAATTTCATTAACTTATTCGTGCTTCCGTTTAGAGGTTGAACTATTCAGTTAGATCAGTACAGTGGTGCTACATAAAACATCTGCTAAGTTAGGTCAGTTAGGTGAACATCTGACTTCCGAGTAGTCTCCCATCGACAAACAAAGATCATCGTTATATTGTACAGCAGGGTATGTAATCATTAGCATGATTCCAGAAATTTCGATCGACCAGATTATGTAATAAAGCGGTGTTCTACTGAGAACAATGGACGAAAAATGTAAGTCATTATGTGCACTGTACCCGGTAAGAGAATTTCGCATCCCCCCCGTACATCATGCAGAATATATACGGAAGATGGACCTGCTATTAGGGAAGTTATCAGTCACAATGTTTATGTGTATCTATAGTTCCTCAAAATTTTGCTTTTTAGACACAGTGTTTTAATAACACTACGGGTCAAAAGTATTGTATGCCACTTTGAGGCAAGAAAATCCGGGTTGATCGTTTGCACCTCCTCTTATCTCCGCGGTGCATGATATTAAAACCAGTCGGCCAACTATTTTAAAATCGTTATTGTTCTAGAAAAAAAGAATTCAGTTGCACACATTCTGAGAGCCACATTTTACGGAAGATGTTTGACTTCTTTTGACAACGTCAATCTAATGGTTGTGTCTAGTCGATAATTTCTAATCTATAAAAATTACAAAATCTAGTGTTACTGTAACACTATAGACTTGTCTCCTGGTAAGAAAAAAAAAATCGACTTCAGAAATTACAAAAGTGAAAGACTTCACCTTTATATTGAATTAGTACCATYAAACAATATGGATGACTACTTTATCGTGTGATCATAACTGCGCTTTACCAAGCAAAACACTGTGATCCTGTCACAATACCTTTTTGTAGTCTCGTATGTCTGGCGATCTTATGTTCCCTGTTGCACGCTTATTTCTAACTATCACAAAACAAATTGTCCTCTCGAATTTTTTGAAACCGCAGGCTGATCAGAATAGTTTAGGTGTTTATATTTTGATTTTGCAACACTTTAAAAGTATCGAAATGACACGAAATTCAGCATATGTAACGCACAATAACGAGCTTGTTGTCAATAGCTTCGGTTCCAGTCTCCTGCAGCCGCATTCGTCGGCACCAAAGAGTGGACGTTCCTCTCCAACTCGGCGACTGTCCTATGTAGAAAGGGCAATCAGGTAGGACACAGGCTGAATATATCTGAAAGTCATCATATTATTCATAAGTGCTTCATACCAAACAAGTTTCCTATAAGGTAAACGTGAATGCGCGAATTTCACCTAGAGCGTTTTCCAGAGATATGTCGTGGCAATTGATTCATCGTTGGTTTTAGGTTACTCGGTCAAAAGTAATGTATACGTCTTTAGTTATATACTTTATTACCTTTCTCTTCGCCACATGCTGTACGGAACCGCGTATCTATATAGCGCTTTACGGCATAGTCGTTCAGTGGATCATAGTTTGTTGTGTAAATGAAGCATAATTTACGACGATATCAATAGCCGCATTGAAGCTCTACTAATTAGCAATAGGTGGGCATGGTGTCTTGACACAGTAAACGCTCTCAATTTTATTACTAGGAAGTCCACACATTTGCTAACTATTAGTAAATTATACATCAAAACATAATACTATATATCCAGACAACCTAACCCTGATATAGAGTACTTWGATGCACCCTTGTAATGCATATATCTTTTCTTGATATTGTGTATATTATGTATATCACAGCTCCATTTACTGTATGTGGACTGCTCATGTGGTGGATTAGGGTCCAGCTATCCAAGCCCAGGTCAGACTCGAAATCGTTACTCTCAATTATATATGCACCATTTACGGGTTTAATAATTCATCGTATTCTTAACGATTTAAGACTGTCATTCAATATCGGATAATCTAAGCTATTTGACTTTCATTAAATACCTATAACAGCAAACAGTATATGCCATATATTGATTGATGACTGACTATATGGGTAAGCATATAATTATTCGCACTGTATGTGTTTAGTGTCTCGAAAGTCAAATATCACGCGGCGATGTTTGTAACGTTATAATGTGTTTTAAAATGCTGTAACATGTGTGTGACCGATCAGTCTATCTTTTAGGATATTATTGTCCATAATAAAAACCAAATCAAACAACAAAGAACACAGGGTAGAAGCTCATGGTTGTTCACTGACAAGTTTAGTTGTACTCTTTTGTTCCGAGCCTATTCCGCATCGCTTATTGTCTCATTTTTCGTTTTATACGTTGATTTGTTTACTATATATCTGTTGGTTCTCAAGTGGTGTCTATTATTATTATTATTATTATTTCAGTCATAAAACACACGTGTATTAACGAAGCATTATATTAACAATGCTCATACTTTATACTGTATTACWAAAAAGCTTTAGTGCACTGCCAAATTAATTCTAACAATTAATTAAAAGGGTGTAGAAAACTACTTGGTATGTTATTAAAAGTACATTGGTTAGCTTGATTTTGGCAGGTTGTCCACCCTTTATAAACGTGTTAGTGATAGTGTGGGTAGATGGTCATTTGATATTAGTTAAATAAAAGATAAATCTATTTATAGTTTATTTGTTATTGTTAGATTCGAAGAAATCCAGTATGTATTGGTGTGTAGTGAAAGATGGTAATGGATATGACTGTAGCTGAAAAAAAAATGACAATAATCCTTTGTTGAAACGTTAAGAAATTCCATAAAATATTCACAGTTCAAACAGAATTAAAATATTCAATGTTCAACTCTGTCAATACAACTGTAGTTATGTACTTGACTCTTGTCGATATTAATCTACGTTTCAACAGTAAAAATGCAATATTGTTAAATGTAAATGTCAAAATGAGAAGAATTTCATCCAAAAAAGAATGATATTGATCGGAGTTTTGCAGTTTTTAATAAGAATATAAAAGAAAGRAAAAAAATAACAATGATTTTTGATGGGCGTCAAAATGTTCCGATTTGTTAAGTTAACTGAAGTTGTCATCTGCTGTTGTCGAAATCTAATGATGAAACTTAAGACAGCCTTAATGCTTGGAATGATTGACAAATTGTTGATATTTGTAGGGGGTGAAAACTTGTCGAAAACGGCTGATTACGGGCTCTATGGTGCACTTGGGAGTGAATCGTTTCCCACGGTGCAGATATAKAATTGCCCTTTCACAGTATTTTTCCACCTTTAACTCTATTTGTCAAGGAAGGTCTTACGATAATACATGTATTAGCCTCTCTGTTTTCCACTCAAAAGAGTAAATTCATGGCCTTTGGGAAGTGGTAAGGGTCTATTGTTTATTCTTTGCTCATTTTGTTAATTTGTGAACTTGAAATGATTCACTTAAGTTTTATAAATGAGGTTGAAAATGTGTGATCGTTAGTTCTACTTTGACACCATTGTTGCGCGCGTGTTGGTACAAGGTACAAATACAACCATACACTTGACAAAACTTGTAATTCTCGCTCATGTATTTGGTTGTTCTTGACCTTGTAGACGTTTTTTTCGCCTGGTCTTGGCACTGTATTCCAGGGTCCACTTGAAAAAAAGATGTTTTTCGGTATTGATTTCTTTTTATATTGACAGCCAGAGGGTCCTTGTAGCTGTATTCCTTGTGATTGCCAATTTCTTCATTGCTGACGTTGCTGGTCAAACAATTGGTATGATTATTAAYTAAAACCCTTGGCCCCAGATAATATTTAGCAATATCTCTAGTGTGATATTTATCATACTTTCCTTTTTTGTTCCTAGCAAAAGACCTTGCTGAAGTATTTGGATGGAGAGATACAGAACCAAGTTCTGCACCTTTGCAAMGTGTGTTTTCTCATTCTTTAGTTCTTCCTGAATATTTCAAAGACAATGAAACCAGCCGTGAGTTCTCTCTTCTCTTTACACTCAATTCTAAAGTGGTCAAAAACTTGAACCTCAGTGTGTCAGCGGAGTCTTATAATGATTCTGTGGTGCTATTCGACCTACTACTGCAAAATGGACGAGTCACAGTCAGACATGACGGCATTSTTCTCCAGGACATCAAACCGGAATTTCTTTTTCAAGGCTGGCAAAAATTTGTTGTGATATATAGAGGCCTAGAACTTTTACTTCATGACTGTAACACCGTCGTTAGAATACCATTTCCTGAAGGAAAAGCGGAGCTGCCGTCATGGAGAGACCTTAAAGTAGTTACATCCCCAAACCTTCCGACGAAAGAAGATATCAGAGTTAGTATTATCAATACACTSATTTTGATCAATGAGATAAACTAACCTACTCATTAGGGTCACACATTAACTGATTAGTTTTTTCATTGACTGACGYATTCACAGCACTCGTCCATCGTGTTTTTAGTAACCTTTACATACTATAGGGATATTTACGTCAMGACAACCCACTGGTGGTACGTAAAGTCCTGACCACACCATCTTGGCATTCTCTTAGTGTGGTACATTTATATCCCTTCGTTTTTAATATAAGACATACTGACTTCTTTTCTGAGAGGGTGTACGGGACATTTAAGTCTAGAAGAGAAAACATACTTACARGATCTGGGAATCAAAACCAGCCCTGTAGAACAGGCATCCAGGTGCCTCAAATTGTTGACCAAGTCACCGTGTTATGTTTTTCAAGATCGTCTAATTGATCTTTTTCATTGATTTATTGATGTTTCATTTGGTTGTCTTACTGATTGAATATTTCAAGTGAGCTTATTGGAGCTTATTCAATGGAACAGATGATGTTTCTTTTAGGAAAATGTATGCGAGATGACCCTTATGATCGGATCAAATGGAGTATCAGAACACTGTGCCAAGACGTACCCAATATGCCCTAAAGGACCTGAAATCATTGTACCGACCCCTACCTCTGTATTGCCAACAGTAGGTATTAGTTACGTTAATCTATCATTGTCCTAATCTTTGACATAAATGCCTCATTTCTATTCCAGAACAGAGTCATAGATCCCGACTACGCTGTTCAGATGAAGGGACCGCCAGGAAATAAGGTAATAGACGATTTACGAACAAGGCAAATCATGATGATGATTCTTACTATTTCTGACATGCACTTTTAGGGACCTAGAGGAGATCCTGGTCGGAATGGAGGGCCTGGAAGACCTGGTCACCCGGTACGRCAATTTATACCTTGTAATACTTTGCACAATTTTTCAAATGAATTATAACTTTTTCTTGCTATTATAGGGCCGCGATGGCCCAAAGGGCACAAAAGGACTTAAAGGACTGTTTGGAGAAAAGGTATGCTTTTTGTTTTTTCTCTATGTCTYTAGTTGTCGACAACAGAACAACATATGTGGAAGTATGTCCGACCTGAGGAGAAGCACTTCCTAAGGGAATCACTTTATGAAGCATTACATTTTTTAAAGCATTTAGTTTTACATTTTCCCCATTATCACTGGTGCATTGTTTATTTGTGTTCGTTAGGGTGAGAAAGGATATAAAGGAGTTCGCGGTCCCATCGGCCCACCAGGTGAGATGGTAAGTTGTATGTCTTGCAGMCAGCACTTTTACGGGAATATCATGGAACATGGATGCTGGGGTGGATTGTGCAGTCCTTAGGTAGATAGTGATTTTCATGTTTGTCAAAAGTAGACGATTTACTTTTWGTTAGCCTTACGAGTACGAGTGTGCTGTTCTTTAYGTAGGGTACACCTGGTTTAAAAGGATTCGCTGGTTTTGCTGGTCACCAAGTATGTAATATCATCATTTTTGCGCGAAAATGCTGTAATATATACGATTATATATGAAATAATTTATAACCCTAACGGGACTTTGTTCTTTAACGTGCTTCAACATCCATTACGTTTTAGGGTCTTCAAGGCAAACGTGGAAATCGTGGCCTCATTGGACCTCAGGTAACAATTATCCCCACAAATGACATGCGAATTTTGACTCATATATTATGTGTTCATAACTTACAATTAGGGTCTTCCTGGAATGATGGGTATTCAAGGATTACATGGTATTGAAGGAATTCAGGTAACACAAATTGAACGCTTTGTCACTTTTGTGTTCGTATTTCTAYAATAAATTACATTCATTTCAGGGCGAATCTGGACAGTTTGGTGAAGAAGGAGCGATAGGGGAAAAGGTAAGCATTGTGTAATCGATGCTCATCATCTTAAGCAGGAGCCAATCCATCTTTGGATGCAGGGGGTAGCCACTGGTGTCCTTTTTTAACTACCCTTATTTGGTGTCTCTTTTGTGATTATTTTTGTTGAGTCCACTCCTCCTGAAAGCCCTACACCCCTAAAGAAATCCTGGATCTGGACCCGTGAAGGATTTCTATTTAATGCCGTTCATTCTGTTCATCTTAATCATGTTGATGATGATGCTGATTTGTTTTTTTTCAAGGGCTTTCCTGGAGAGACAGGCGGCATGGGTCTTATTGGTAGTCCCGGAAAACCTGTAAGTACACTTACAGTAGTTTATAATCTGTTTACATTAAATCGATTCTATTTTTATACATTTCAGGGAGAACAAGGTCGACCCGGCCCGAGAGGYGTTGTCGGCCACGTGGTAAGATAATTACCAAGACGCTGTGCTTGAAGCACAGTTTTGAGTTCGCGGTGGTCTTGTGTCTAGCCAGACCACCTCACGCAATTAAGTGCCAGCTAAACCCTAGCTATTTGCAACATCTTAACCAAATTAAATCCTAAATATGTTCATGTTGTTTAGTCTCGATCTAACCAATTAAATGGTGGTAMCCATATGTAATATTTGATCAAACAATTAGGGTGAACGTGGTCCAAGAGGATCTCCTGGCATACTTGGCATCAAAGGAATTAAAGTGAGTAGTGTTAACATCATAATCAGACGTYATAATGGCAAACTCTATGTGGTGAAAAGATTATTATTGATGGATTTGCATTAATTTCGCTCGTCAAGTATTATTTTCTTTAAAATGCAGTTGAGACTGATAAAAAAATTATTGTCATTTTTAAACACATTGTTCTACAAAGCATCATAAAGAGTTCCCCATTTGATAATGTTGAAAGTTGTGGAAACTGAACGTTGGTGCCAGCTATTCAGGTCCTGGTAAAAAATAGCATTAATGCAGGGTTGGCGCTGCGGACGATGAAATATTAGTGAAAAAAAATATATATATAATTTATCGACTTAATAAGACTTTTTTGTGATTGAAATATTCATGTGCTTCATCAAATAAATATTTCAGGGAGAAACCGGCAGTAGTGGATGGACTGGTCATAAAGGATCTAAGGTAACACCTGTTAATCTCTAATGCGTATATCTTATCATGATAGTAATTTTTTTATCTGGAATATCAGGGCGAGCCTGGACGTAAAGGCGTAAAGGAGGAGACCGGTGATAAAGGCAGCATGGTATGAATTTTMATTACTGTATCAACAACTGAATCAAACCATAATGTTTTTATAATGATATCAGGGTRCACCAGGACCTCCTGGAGGAAAAGGAAAGAGAGGACCGCGAGGGCCAAGGGTTAGTGCTGTGATGCCCATTATAGCTAATTGGCTCACTGTTCGAGAAGCATTATAAAACTCATTACATTGATTTGTGACCCTTTAACATACCCTTTGATATGCATGCACTTCTCATTGTAGTCGTCCATTCTGTGAAAAAAAAAACAAGTAGTCTAGACTTGAAAGCCTTGTTTTTGTTATGTTGGTTTTCCTGTGGTTAAGTGTGACTGTCTAGTCTTGTATTTAKTTCATGGTTTTCTGTCTAGGGTGTCGATGGTGACGGTGGTATTATGGGTGTTCAAGGTGTTCCGGGTAAAAAGGTATGTATTAAGTTTTTTTTTATTATGCATATTGCAGCTCCAAATAACGACCGTTGTTACATGCGTGTTCAATTATTTTGAAGGGTGTTCCWGGACAACCAGGTATACCAGGCATGCCTGGGGCAAGTGGTGCCAGAGTAAGTATTTTTTTTTTCTTAATACTCTAAGATCTACCTCAATATCTTGACATGATTGTATGTTTAGGGTCTTCCCGGYATTGAAGGAAACGCTGGTCTAGTTGGCATGAAAGGGCAGGAGGTAGGGCGAAGCGCCATGTCAACACGTAGGCCTTGTAAATCTTCTAAAACGTTTATAATTGTATATTTTAGGGTGATACTGGTAGTCCTGGTCAGAAGGGTCCCGAAGGTCTTGAAGTAAGTCCAATCTGTCTTAAAGCCAGGCAAAAAGTGTCAGTCGATGCGTGTAATCTTCACGTATACACATTAATCTTCACAGGGTCGATTTGGAAAGAAAGGCGATCCAGGATATAATGGTCTAGATGGTTTCAAGGTATAGATAGCGAGGTACTTATTGCTTTTGTTTTTTATTWATCTCATGGATTTGTATAAAAAATCGTATCTGTGCAGGGCAGTATTGGARGWCAAGGATTGCCTGGAGAACGTGGAAGACTGGTAAGACACACGGTGTAGATATACAGAACAATCATTTAAAATATCATAAATAGCAGGCGCAATARTTAGATTGATTATGAAAAAAACAAGAATGGCTGGGTGCCAGGTTTTCTTTAGTTTTTCATACTCAGCCAAGTAAGCCACATGATGCCCTTACTCCTCACTATAAGTATTCTAAGATGTAGATGAAGCTGTCTGTTTTGTAACGGCAGGGCCCAACAGGTGTGAAGGGAGCCGAAGGTGACCCTGGAAGTCGTGGCCACTATGTAAGTAATTTAAAATTGTTTCTTTGTTAATAGTCTCATGCGTTTCATTTTGCCTATGAAGTCTAAGTATTAGTTTTCGTGTTTGAATTGAAATATTTTAATATATATAATCAAGGGACCGCTTGGTATCAATGGTACTCAAGGTCCGCAAGGAGAGCCTGGAGCTATGGTAAGGCTCGCTTGTTGTCGTTGTTCTTTTATCGTAATTTAAATTGACTGTGTTTTTAAGGGAGTGCAAGGTAAACCTGGTGATCAGGGACGTTTGGGTATAGTTGGAATTCCAGTAAGTATGACTCCATTATTATCCTTCTATCGATGTACACATGAAAAAGAAATGCTGTCCTATTCAAAGGGTCCAAAAGGCATCGAGGGGATTCTTGGCAAGCCTGGATTAACAGGTGGAGTGGTATGTACCATTTCCGTGTATTGTCATGGTGCTGAGTACTGATTCATTTTTAATATTTTTAGGGGYTAAAAGGCAATAGAGGGAAGCGCGGTGGWGTAGGCGTTGTCGGAAAGAAGGTGCGCGTGTCAGTAGACATTTTCCTGAAAGTATTGCGGTGATCCCAAACGGTTTTGTGTCTGATTCACTTACTTTGTAATCTTGTATTCAAGGGCTCAATTGGACCGCCAGGCGAACGTGGTTTTGATGGACTCCGGGTAACTAATTAGTAAAAATAGATTTGAAAGGACAATGCAGTTAAACTTACTTATTTTTGACGCAGGGCGAAAGAGGAGAAGAAGGGGCCTCTGGAGAARTCGGTTCCACGGTAACTTAAGGCAATTCTGCATAACATCTGTTGTTACGTCCATGACTCTATATGATCAATTCTAAGTATGATGTACTTATATGATATATTGATATGCATTTATTCTATGATATCAGGGCGTTATTGGTAGAAGAGGAGATGCGGGTGGAATGGGACTCTTTGGAAAACAGGTCAGTGATCAGCCTTTCCAATAATTTTGTACTAGCCAAACCATATCCAAAGACAGTGTTTTCCTTATACAAACAAATTGTTAGCTTCTTAAAAATCAAGAATGTTTGTGAAGGCAGTTCTTCATCTTTAACTGGAGTATTGTTTATCAATAAAACTGACTTCCCCTAATGTCACGAAACGAATGAAAATACATAGCGTGTAATAGAGATGTWATCATTAGTTATTAAGGGGTTGGTATGACAAACAATCGTGGTAATGATATCAATATTGACTGTAGATCCATGATCTAGGGTCCAGGTGGTCCGTCTGGTCCTATTGGTTTTAATGGAACTGCTGGGCCAGAGGTAAGAACCCAAAATCTCTTGAGTTCTGAATATTCACATTACTAGAACTCACATGTTGGAGAACTAAAATAAACACCACTTTTTCAAACAGGGCTTTGTTGGAGAAATCGGCAAAACTGGAAAACCTGGAAAATCTGGAGGAAAGGTACACTTTTGGGTTCTATAGTCTGTTTAAACATGAATCTAAAKCCTGTAATTTTATATTTGATATGGTTATYCATAGGGTGATCCTGGCTCCAAAGGACGTATTGGACCAACTGGTGATGTTGGAGAACAGGTAAACACTATTCACTTATACAGAAAACTTCCATTGTTTAATTGGTCTTTCGTTACCACACAATTATTGCGAATATACCATCAGATATTTTTCGGCTGGGTAGTGTTAAAATATTATGAATTTCAGGGACTAATTGGGCCAAAAGGTGAAGAGGGAGAGCTGGGAATCAAAGGCTACTTGGTGAGCAGATAAACTTGTAGCTATATATCGATATATAAAATGGTAATCTGCAAATATAATTTACTCTCTCAGGGTAGTCCTGGTGCTGTTGGTGTCATTGGGTTACCTGGTGAAGGTGGAGAAAAGGTACGACGGATGGAACTTTTCCATCTATATTTTCATTTCGTATACAAATCTAGTTAAGTCATTTCGATTGCTATCATCTTTGCACAGGGTATCATCGGTGTAATGGGGCCTCCGGGTTTCTCAGGCTACGAGGGGATCGAGGTACAAACTCAACTAATGACTAAATAATTCTAATAATATTATTTTTAGAACTATACTGATGACATGTCATGTTACATATCAGGGAAATACAGGTCCAAAAGGCTTGCCGGGATTGCCAGGGAAGAAAGGTGCAAGGGTAGGTATTGCTATTATGAACATTTAATTCCTCAACATGTAAGCTCAAACGTCCATTTCATTTGTTTCAGGGGGGAGCAGGAGATCGAGGGGAGTCCGGTTTCAAGGGCGCCAAAGGAGTCACTGTAAGCATCCAATGATATTGTTCATGTCGYCATTCTTCGTTCATTTTTTCATTTTGAAAATTTCCAGGGAATTGTTGGATTTCGTGGACATCCAGGTGATCCTGGAGAATTAGGACTTCCTGGAATTGGCGTGGGACCGCAAGGAGAAAAGGGAATGTCGGGAATTCCTGGGACCAAGGTGCCATGTTTTTAAGTGTTCTTAGCTTCATGTTCATGATACTGTTATCATCATCATCTAGTTGTTCACCAGTAACGGTCTTCGATTCTGGTTATCGTTTCATTGCAGGGTCCTAAAGGTTACAAAGGTTTTCTTGGCTTCCATGGAAAGCAGGGTTTCAAGGTATACCTCTTAAATTTGAAAGAAAATGTTACTCTTGGTTTGTCTTATTTTGTTTTGTTTATTGTTAGGGAGTGATCGGAGATGAAGGACATCGTGGGAATCGAGGGGCTGTAGGAACATCGGTAAGATGCTCTTCTTTAACTTYCATTAAAGGTATTAGAAGCACACTAACATTATATGTTTCAGGGCATTGGAGGTAAACATGGACCGAAAGGAGAGCRTGGCACTGTCGGAGGTCAGGTAAAGTTCTATTTGTTTATTTAGGTCTCGTTTTTCCCTTGATCAGCTGTAATTAATTAGTCTAAAGATTATGTTATTTATTGGTAATGTCTGGTATTGCAGGGAGCTCCTGGAATAAAAGGCTTCATCGGAGATMGAGGCGTTCGTGGAACCAAGGTAATACTCGTGTCTTGGACTCGTTCTCCTAGAAGATCAATACTCTTGATCGAGACTGTTCTGCTGACTTACKTTTATTTGTAAAGGGAAAAAGTGGTTCAACTGGATCTTCTGGTGGGATAGGTCCCTTTGGTAGTGAGGTTAGTGCATTCAGAAAAAGGGTTCATGAGATTATTTATTTAACCTGTTTTTATACAATTGCATTCTTCTCAATGTCTACAGGGAGAACGTGGAGATCCCGGTCCACAGGGAAAGCCTGGATCAGTAGGAGGCAAGGTATATATTAAATTACTAACGATATRTACGATATATCACGATACTTGACTTCTTATCATATTGAAATTGACCTTCAGGGAGAGGATGGAGAACAAGGACCAGATGGTGATRGTGGTAAAGTTGGTCCAGTGGTAATTAATCATGTTACATATCCTTTTTCTCGTTATGGTAGATTATTTTGTGTTAACGAGTTATTCCTGATAGGGTCCTAAGGGTGATCTTGGTTTGAAAGGGCACAAAGGCAAAGTTGGTGACAAGGTACACACACTGTTATATTATCTTCAGTTATCTTTCAATTCATACCACTCTATTCGTTTCAGGGTATTGTGGGAGGCAAGGGTGCCAAAGGGGAAAGAGGAAGAGAAGGACCCAAGGTTGGTACGTTTTCATTTTTGATTATTTCCATATCATTTTGCATGCTAAAATGTAGCGTTGTTACATCTGTTCATGAATACAAATATATATTTTTTTGCAAAACAGGGTCTTTTCGTTTTAACATTTGTTTTACTTGACTTCCAGGGAAAAGTCGGTGAAAGAGGTCCCTTGGGTTTATTTGGACAAAAAGGTTTCCGGGTAAATATAAATGCGATGATTGTTCTCACTTTTGTAGAGAGAGACATTTTTTTTACTTCAGATTAGTAAAAATKGACTTAACYCTTAATTGCACCTGGCGAAAGATGACATTGATCAAGAGTAGTTTTTGATTGAGAGAGAAAGCAATGGAGATTGCAGCAAGYCATAGCCTGACAAATGCCAAAAATGATTTTTGCTATAAGAAATGTAATGTGTGTGACTATTTTACTAGGGATTACTTGGCCCAATTGGTATCCCTGGTATCAAAGGAATTCCTGGYAACATGGTAAGATTGTGCAAACTTTAGAATAGGAGCGGTATATTGAATAAAGAAGAAATGACAATCGTCTAACCCTAGGGTCGCAAAGGTTTCCAAGGAGATTCTGGCGAAGCTGGTGATCGAGGTGACAAGGTACCGTTAGTAATTTAACTCCATCGGACTCAACGTGAGGCTGTCAATTCCATATAAACCATTCATGCAATGTTTCAAACGTGATATGACAAAGTTAATATACCTGGTATAATTCATTTCCAGGGAGTGAGAGGATATAATGGCAGGATGGGTGGAATTGGCACGAAGGGCACAAGGGTATGATACAAGCCTCTRGTGTTTAAGCCTGTTTTCTACTTACTAATTTGATATTGTCTACAGGGTGACCATGGAGAGCAGGGCGAGAAAGGTGCCGTGGGAAGGAAAGGCCCCCCTGTAAGCCCAAKTTATATGAACATATAGTAATTTAATGATTGTTATGTGATTGATGTCTTTCTTGCATCAGGGTGTAAGTGGAAGAACTGGTAAACGTGGTGGGATCGGAGCTCCAGGACCTGAGGTAAGTCATAAAATATTTAGCTGTAAGATTTTACTTACAACAGTACTGATGTTTGTTCATTTTCTTTTTATAGGGTCTACGAGGCTCCAGGGTAAGTTAGAGTTCACTGCGAACACRGTTTTACTTAACTTGCATGAATTTCTTACGTTTATCGATGTTTTTCAGGGAATGCAAGGATCTAGGGTATGCAGGTTCCATTATCGTTGAAAGTTATCATTATTTTTTATTTATATTTGAGTTGAAAGTGTTGTTGTTTTGTTTGTATTTCTACTTAATGAAGTATAACTTTTCATTTAGGGCGAACCAGGTGTCAAGGTATGTTTTTCTATTATTAACTGCATTTCGCATTCAATATTAATCATTTCATATATTAACATCGTATCATGATTTCGTTCCATGTATTCTTACAGGGTGTTGGCGGACATAAGGTAATGTACTTAATAATTCCAGTTTAGGAATGGAAAAGGATTTTGAGATATTGATGTTTGTTCCTTCAATTTCAGGGTGGTAAAGGTCCACCGGTAAGTTAATGCTAAATGAATACAAAGCGAAGCAGTATTAAAGGGATAGTTACTTAATAAAATCATACGACACCAAGTCCATATTTATCTCTGCTTTATCAAAYTCAAATATGCAGTTGTAAAAACTGAGTTTAATGTAGCGCAGTGCTGATCTTCCTCAAATGAATTCTATTATCCAGGGTCGTCCTGGACCTGTACGTGGTATACGTCAATTTACCAACCAACTCACAAGGCATCTACGTCAAGAGGTAMMAATCTTTACAATCAGTACTCTTTATTCTACTTCAACTCTTCTCCTAATTGGCAAGACATTGGACAGTTCTGTTCCAATCTGCTGCGATCCTTTTAGCTTCTTTCCAACCTTTCCAATCCATCTATTTTTCTCTTTCCCTGTCTCATTTGGCCATTGTATCGAGGGGGTTTCCGTCTTAAACCCATATCAACGCCCAAACTTCAAGTCGTCTTCATTAATACCACTTCTCATGACGTGGTCCATGTGTTTTCACCCTTTATTCATGGAWATGTTATCATCTACTGTCATAGCATTAAATAATGTGGGTGTTGTGATACCTTGTCCGTGCCCATTCCGTAGACAAGCGAATTCATTGGCGAACKTAATCTTTGCAACGTTTAGAGTTAATCAAAATGTTTGCCTGCAATCTTATGGTGTATTTAACTTTTAGTACATGACAGGTAGCACCAAGAATATCCTGTACATGTCCCAGTCTATCGAGACTCCTCTTGGAACACGATCCAATCCTGCATTGACATGTAAAGAATTAAAGCATATCCCAGGCATAAAAGATGGTAAGGACAGGTAAATTCTTAATTATATTCTAGAAAACTCTATATTCCTATTGCATAACTTACGCAAGCCTCGATATAAGGAGAAAGCAGATATGGTTTAATTTCTTTACCAGGAGGAATAAAATGGTCGAGCGTTGAATATTAGCTTGGAATGATTTTAATCCTACTAAAAAGCTGTAAAATCTKGAGTGTGATACGATTTTTTTGTTAGGGCGTTACTGGATCGATCCTAACATGGGTTGTCCTGGAGATGCCGTCAAAGTGTATTGCAGATTTAAAACCCTTGAAACATGTATCCTTCCCCACCAGCTTGAGGTCAGTATGGTTTACTATAGCAAAACAATAGTAGTACTTGCAAGGCTTATCTCGATATACAATTGATTTTGATTATAGCTTCCTAAACAAAAGTGGCATAATGTCACTCTGCCTGGCTGGAAAAGATTTTCGGAACTTGTGAAAGGAAAGAAGGTAAATTGAATTTTTTCTGGTAGTCTAGTAGTATATCAATTAATGTGTTTACAATRATTACAGATAACATACAGAATCAACAAAGTCCAACTTAACTTTCTAAGATTATTAAGCACCAGTGTATCACAAAGARTAGCAATAAAGTGCAAAGCTGTCGTCGTGTGGTTCCATAGAACAACCAAAAGCTATCGATACTCATGGAAATTTCATGGCCCTAGAGATCATGAGTTTTCACAAGATAGCAAAGTACTTCCTAAAGTTCTTAGAGACAATTGCAAGGTGKGTATCCTGGRAATAGTGACCGTGCWTATTTTATTGGTCCAATATCTCTTCCATTTACGGAAAAATACAGAATGTATAGCACGCTGACAAATTACACTCACATTATTATCATAACTAGAGATCCATCGACGAACGTTCCAACCCATKATATTGTGTTTTGACCATGTTAATACTCTACTCAACCTGTATTGCTTCTTTAATGTTGCAGTATGACGATGGAAAGTGGAGACGAACAGTGTTTCAATTTTCTAGCGAAAAAATCAATCAACTTCCAATCGAAGACTTTACATTTTACCATCGAAGYTTACTTGAAGAAGAACTTGGCGCTAAAATTGGACCCGTTTGTTTCCAGTAATTACGTACATGGTGTATTTATTGAGAACCCTTCGACACTTGTAATTAGTATTATGTCAGTTGTACCAGCAAAATATCAGTTCATTTCTTTGTTTAGTTATTAAAATTTCTTACACTCCATTCGGCTAACTACCCTTACAAATACCTTAAGTTAAAATACAAGAAACAGGAAACGACCTAAAGGAACTATGGGACAGCAATCATACTTAATTATCTCATTCTGTTTACAASTAAAGGCTCGGCTCATTCCCTAACAAAAATACACCACTTGCAATCCCAGAGATCCGTTYGGTCGACCAACCTTGGCTAGTTKAAAATGAAATGATTGAATGTAACCATAGATAAGGAAGCGCCAACRCAAGATGGTCGGCCCATGCACACCATGCAAGGGAAGATAAAGAACAACTCTCCTGTTTGTGTGAAAATATATTGTAATAAAACTAGGTTTAATTCTGAATTTCTCWTTGAATACGGTCTTCATTCGATATTCTCCTAAACYTATGCASTTGACATTACAATTCTATTATACTAATAATTTATTATGATTATTGAAAAGAATATACGGCCTGTGGTATTTATAACTCACCAGTAGGGAGATTATGTACGATGAGTCCCTACTTTCTACATGGGATCAGAAGAATTTCGTTCGTCCCTGGGCATTTCTTTCTATAAACATTTTATTACTAACGTAATGTTTACAATTGAACAGTACAAAAATAGTGTCTTCATTTATTACAAAGTGTGAGTGAAGAGGTTTCTGTTTATCTGGCTAAGATGAAACTATGGGTGTACTGGTCAAAACGTACATAATTATACACCACGATTACCCGGAAAAATAGCCATCGGTCGTGTTTTAGGTGAAGCAGACGGGGCCCAACTCAAAGTCAATATGGCCATCGTTTTTATTGATAGCAAAGTCTCGTAGAGGAAGCAAATCTTTCTTCTGTAAATTGTGCACAATTCTTTGTCCAACCTGGCAGGAGACAAATTACAATCAAACACCTGCAGATGCAGAAGGAATAGTTCAAGGTACAAATGCTATAATGACATTTGTAACCTTCAAGARTACAGACCTTGCAACCATTGTTATTGTTAGCAAGTTCCCTGTTGTTGGTGCCGAGAAGCTGAATCTCGTCTTTAACACAGTCGTGTTGAATTGTTTGTGTAGCTTGACGGCTCAAAAGTCTGAGGAATTTCATTTGGACCGCATCGGCCTCGTATGCAATCTAATGACAGCAACAAGTTATTGCATTTCACTTCTCTACCAGATAACTAGACATTCCTTACCTTGTAACCATCTTTATTATCAGAAAACAGCAATTTTCCATCAAACTCCCAGCGTCCCTTAAAATGAAGAAATGTTTGGAAAGGAGAGTCGGGGGTAGTTTTATTATGTGTGATTCTTTCGAGAATCATGCATGTTGGGAGATACATCAACATCATCATGTATAATTGAAACAATYGTATTCTAATGGGTTATCTGCACCTGAGACGATCAAGGTCAGGCTTTAATTGTCAAAATACGGGTATAATGGATGGKGTTTATACGAGTTCTAATACGAGTTCTTACCAAGCGTTTTAGGGGTTTAATACAAGTCTGTCCACCAGCTGTAAAATTACAGAAGGCACGGAAGGAGTCTTGAGTCACTCCCTGGTTGGGATCGAGCCAATAATTATCTGAAATATCAAAACTTCAGCATAAAACTATACATGATACCAATATGTAAGTGTTCTGTTAATATTATGTTCATGTACTGTACCATCGCGTAGTTGGTTGTTGGTCTTCATCAATTCACGGCAGGTTCGTGCGGGGCTGTCCTTTTCGCCTGATGGTCGTACGATTTTATTAAACTCTTCGCTTGCATCAAATATAGCATCAATAACTACAGTATTGTATTGGATGGCCTAGGATTTGATCAAAGTTTTGAAATAATTTAGAAATAATCRAAACAAACCTCCACAAACAACAAAGAAATAAATTGATGATATCGAATAATGCTTCCATACCTCAAGCTCTATGGATCGTTTTGTGCGTCCTTTATCTTGGCTAGTACTAGATGCAGGAGGCTCGTTTGCACGATTAGCTGCTCTGGACTGAAAACAGCGATMATAAACATAAAAATTATCGTTGGACAAAATATGAACAAAAGAAATGCAACCACTTACCCCGAATAGGTTTTGAGGCTGAAAAAGAAAGACTGGGGTTAGACCTTTTCCTCACAGCATCATTACAAACAAGAATAGTCACACTGGACGAATAGAACCATTCTACATTCGATCAACACGATTATCAAATCGGTGAACACCTCGTCAACGCGGTATACGATGTCAGTTAGCGGTAAGACTCACCGTTGGTCCAGGGGGTCCAGGAGCGCCAGGTTGTCCCTATAACAAATAAACCATTATTTTCAGTTTATATCAGTTTYAATAAAAACATTTATTGTATCTTTTGTCTACATCGTCATTTACCCCAAATGCAATGCGCATTGTTTGCTACAAACTAACRTACCAAAACTGCTTGATTGAAAAAACTTACCATTCTTCCACGCCTTCCCTGGAACGAAAAGAGACACATTTACATCAACATATTTAGTCAAATGAAATAGAAAAGTGATCAATGGAGAGCGTACCTTCAGTCCTGAAACCCCCTGGAAGGTAAAGGAAAACAAGATTAATACTAACAGAGCTTGCTGTAATAGCAAAATCAGTACTTACCGATTCTCCCTTCTCTCCCTAAAACAATGAAAAGAATATTTTAAAAATATACATTAGTCACAAGACATAAGATTAGACCCATACCCCATTGTTAAGGTTATTAGTGTGTTTTGACGATWTTCATACTTACAGAATCTCCATATCTACCCTGAAGACGAAAGAAAGTCGTYGAATGAGAAATTACAAACATATAAGTRAATAAGAGACAATACAGCATACCGGGGCACCTTGGTCACCAGGTGGACCACTAGGTCCTTCTTCACCACGGAAGCCCTGAATAGATAAAGACAGTTTTCGTTTGGTAAACACTGAAAWTAGAGCAAAGACAGCAACATCTAATTTACCTTTGGACCTTTTGGTCCTCGAGTTCCACGCGTACCAGGCTCTCCAATATCTCCCTACAAACATGATATTGAATGAAGTATCATTGAGTCATACATCACTTTTATGTATACAGTGAATGGAATCTACCTTAGGACCGCTGGGTCCACGGGGACCGATGGCACCAAGCTTTCCACGATAGCCCTGTCGATAGAATTAACTAACAGTTTTATGGTGTATATCTTGTATTCCTCCCTGTGGTCTATGGGAAAGGGATGAGGGTTGCTGGATAGATTCRTTTTTATTTTGTTTAGTCCATACCTTGATACCCTTAACGCCCCCACCTCCAGACATTCCTTTGATGCCTTGCTCACCCTGTTGATTGAAAGCTGTCAGTCATTCATAACTATAACGAAAAACTGTACACGTTTTTACCTCAGCTCCAGTAGCACCTCGTGCACCATCTTCACCTTGATCTCCCATTTCACCCTTCAAATATGTACACGTTAAAACCTATTCTAAACAATCATGATGTTTACTAATTACCTTCGATCCGGTTCTTCCCTTCGTCCCCTTCTGTCCAGGTTGTCCTGGCTCACCCTACAAAACAACATGCTGAATCAATAAAAGTGCTACTGAGATGAGGTTTAGCACAACTGTGCTTTCCTCTATGACCACGAAATAACTGAGCATCCCTACTGATGAAACTGTAAAACTTACCACGATACCAGTTGGACCTACAACGCCACGGATTCCTCGAAGGCCCATATTACCCTGAAATTAACCAATAGGGTCCGTTGGTTTGAATATCAAGAAAAGGTAAATKGACTTAAAACMAAGTACCTTTTCACCTTTCGATCCACCCAGTCCAGTCCCGCCGCGCGCTCCACGTTCACCCTACAACAACAGCAATGACGTAAGTATGATTGCGAACATTTTATGTGATTCTTGATATGAAAAACTTACTGGTTGACCAGCCACACCCATAACACCACGTCTACCTTTCGGTCCACTTGGTCCCTACAACAATGATTACTATTAATAACAGTTGGCTTTATACCTTTTCAGTGATCACAACAAGAAAAAAAAAATGACAACATACGAACGAAAATAAAAATAAAACTTTTACTTACTCGACCGCCAGGGGGTCCAGGAGGGCCATCTCGTCCATTTGGACCATCATCACCCTAAAACACCGAACATATACTCTTCATATGGACAGCAGAATAATAGAACATGACTTGACACCTACTCTATCTCCAGGAGCACCAGCAGGTCCGATGTTGCCAATTGGTCCAGGGAAGCCCTGTAAGAAAATTCTAGTTTAAAATATGCATGAATGAAAAGCAAAACACTTAATGTTAAAAAAAGGTTTCTGTTCCTTTGCTTATGTTGTTCTAATTAACTGCCTAATGTACAGCGCCAAGAGTACTGCGGGAGGGGGAACTATACTATTACTTACAGGTTCACCTCTGCTTCCAGCTTGACCTTGTGATCCAGCAGGACCAATAGGACCCTATATAGAAACTCCAACATTATCATCTATCATTCATGAAATAAATAAACAGTTAATATAAGACTAACTTGCTGTCCGGCCTGTCCCTTGGTACCGTCTTTACCAGGAGCTCCATCTTTGCCCTAATAAAGATAGGTCAGTAAATAAGTACTGGACACTGGGTACTGGTATCAAGTGACGTCATACTGTAATAAAAGCCTTTGCATGCGTGACCTGACTGACTGTGGAGACTTACTGGTGCTCCATTGGGTCCGTTGTCACCATCTGTACCTTGAACACCAGCATCTCCCTATAACACAAATCAAAATATAAACTAGATATATAACTAAAATCATATACGTTCGCAGTGTCTTCTTACCTTACTGCCCTTCTCACCGGCACCTCCTTGTTCACCCTTATTACCGCGTGGACCCTTGTACAGACAGAATAACGTCAAATATAGCATTGACGACCATGATAACACTTTGTATATTACTCACCTTACCACCTATGGGTCCAGCAGGACCACGTGACCCCTGACTTCCAGGTTGACCCTAAAAGAAACATRATATTATTTCGCCATTATGCCAAAAATCACATACAAAAGTAACTTACTTCAGCACCAGCTTGTCCACGATCTCCCTTGTCCCCAATAGGACCTTGTTTACCCTAATATAAATAACCAATATTTATTTTGATTCTGGGAATTATTACTATACTATATTTGAATACCTGTTCCCCTTGTGCTCCAGTAGCGCCTGCAGGACCAACAGGTCCAGAGTCTCCCTGTAAAACAAATTATACTTCAATATTTCAAACACTTACTCCTCTGGTAGAACGTATGGCTGCACAACATATGAACAGTGTATAACGTACCGTCTCGCCGGCTGGTCCTCGTTTTCCTCTTGTTCCCCGTGTTCCTGCCTCGCCCTAAGAACAAACAGATTGACTTTCTCTAAGACCTTAAAATATCATGCATATTAGAATCATTTTACTTACTATGGGTCCAACGGGTCCAGGAAGGCCAGGATTACCAGGCTGCCCAGCACCACCCTAAAAGAGAAACGTCTAATATGAGCTCTTTGTAGTTTAATAAGAACATCATTTGAACGAACTTACTCGTTGTCCACGGGCGCCATTTCGTCCAGGGAAACCAGCGCTACCCTGCTCTCCCTGAAAACATCAATGGTAATACATTCTAATGGTTACTACTTGTATTACAATACAATGTTAAACATACATGAAATACATACTACTTCTCCTTTTGGTCCCCGTTCTCCTTGGGGTCCAGGGTTACCAGGACCACCCTATAACCAATATAAAATATCAATTACTACATTCAATATGACGAAGGCCTATTGACGTCAATGCTTACGTCAGGTCCGGTTGCTCCTTGCCGTCCTACAGGGCCTTGCTCTCCTTCTACTCCCTGTAAGACAAATGAATTCATGAAAATAATAATGAGCCGCCGGCTCATTATAGTCTATGATAGTAATAATGACGTAGACCTTACCTGTTCTCCTCTWTCCCCGTTCTGTCCAGGTGGACCAACAGGACCTTCAGGGCCCTTGAAAAACAAACAAACAAAAACATCATTTTTAGCCTTGCCTTAACTTGACGTCACCTGTAAACGTACCTGAGGTCCCTGTGATCCACTTTTACCATTGGGCCCTTGTGGCCCAGCAGGACCCTACAAAGACGAGCTTAGTTATAATAGAACTCAAAGGCCCTTTTGATAAAATATTACCAACCCACCATTTCTCCATCCTTTCCTTGGGACCCTGGAGCGCCCCTTAGGCCAGCCGGTCCCTACAGTAATACAAAAGGTAATTTCAATGAGTATATTTCGAAAAAGAAAAGGCAACTATTTCTTTCTACGATACCTGTGCACCTTGATTACCAGCTGGACCATCTTCACCTGCCTCGCCCTAGAAAATAAACACTATGGGTTATTGTCTATATTGTTATTCTAGATTTGAAATAAAAAGATATAAAACAAATCAAGAGCTGAGGATCCAATAAACTTGAAAGCRACATCAGGAACACAAAAAAATACACGCATCAACATACAAGACAAATGTAGTCTGAACTTACATCAGCACCGTTTGCGCCGTTCTTGCCGTTGTCTCCAGGGGGTCCCTAAAGAGAAAAACATTAGCATCCAATACAATCAATCTAAGTCGAATACAGGAGTACAACCTACCTGACCACCGTCTTTGCCGCGTTCCCCTTTTTCTCCGGTATCACCCTTGGGACCCTAAAGTAAAGTAAAAGTTTAATAGCTATTTAATAGCTATATAATTTACACTATATACATAGCTTTTTTCTTACCACTGTCCCTTCAACACCTTTATCACCAGCAGCTCCTACTTTTCCTTTGGGTCCCTAAAAACATGGTTTTAATTCAAAACAGACTTATATATGCTTGAGATTTAGACTGAAAACACCCACCTGTGGTCCTTGTGGTCCTTGTAGACCTTGTTCTCCTGGTAATCCGGCTTCACCCTAATAATATAAACATTACGATTCAATATGCTATCTATCGATGATAATAAGATATCAGTGCCACAAACCATGGGTCCTGCGGCGCCATCGGGTCCATTAGCACCTTGCGCTCCTACACCTCCCTATAAGAACAGATCATGAATCTATTACCTCATCAGAAGATAAAGATGACAATCACAGCAATAAAATCAACCTTTCAAAATGACTTTCATGATTTTTTCCTGAAAAACTGAAGTAAGAATGGATGATGTCTATTTTCCTCATTCTTACCCTAGGTCCTTGTATTCCGGGGGGTCCAGTTGGTCCTTTGAATCCCTCAGGGCCCTATTAACATAACTCATTAACTAATGATTCACTCCCGAGAAAACTAACCAAATACTTACAGCAGGTCCTTGAGTACCGGCTTGGCCAGGGTTGCCAGGGTAACCCTAATGAAAGAAAACACTCTTGGTTTCGCCTGATAGAATAAACTAATCAAACAAGCAAAATTAACGGTACTTACAGGAGTTCCAGATCGTCCGGGACTCCCTGGTTTGCCCTTTTGACCACGTGGTCCCTAATCACAACAACATCATGCATCAGTGTTAAAAAAGGAACCAAAACATTAGTTATATCATTAATTACCCTAGTACCAGGTCCTCCCGGTTGACCGTCAACTCCAGCGGGGCCTGGATCTCCACGGTCTCCTCGTGAACCACGCCTGCCCCTTCCTCCACGTTTGCCCTAAAAATATATACGTGATCACACCACATAACTTGACAAAAATGTTTTGTACTTAGTGCAATTTGATTGAGAAGAAATGCAGAACATTATTAAAACTGTATCATACGCGTTGTATTGAACTCTAATAACTAAATTACTGTTTATAAATTGAATAAATTGAAGAAAAAGGCACGCAACTTGCAACTATTATTCCTACTCTTTATTTGAACGTTTCGGCACTTCGGAAAAAAAAAAATTACTGTTTATATTTATATTAACATACCTTATGTCCTTTGGCTCCGTTAACACCTGGGAAACCAGGAGAACCTCTAGTACCCTAAAGAAAGGACTTCTATTAGTCATTGCATATTAACATAAGTCTATAYCTTGCATTACCTTGGGTCCTGCTGGACCTGCAGCCCCGGCGGGTCCACGCTTGCCTTCCTCGCCCTGTCATCATAAACGGTTAGATTTSTTTGTCCTTCGAAAGAATCAGTATGAGAAGCTTTTACTTACCGTAGCACCAGCAACTCCACGTCGTCCAGGTTTGCCTTGTTCACCATCTGGAGCCTGTCAAAAGACCATAGAATTYACCTGAGTATGTAAGTATATTGACTGATATATCACTACCACTTTACCTTGTCTCCTTTTGCTCCACTGGCTCCTTTCACCCCCTTCTCTCCGGTTGGACCCTAAATATATACAATAACGCGAATCAATAAATAAAACAACATTATGGCTTAATTTCGGTTGGACTTTGTACTTACCACATCTCCTTTACGACCAGGTCTTCCAGCTCTGCCTTCGTGACCCTGAAATAAGCGRCACAGTCGTCACTAAACGTATCTACAGTCACTTCGAAATAGAAAAATGTTCTAAAAGAAAATATATTCCCATTGCTGGTATGATCTTTATTTCCTCAAATCCTCTAACATATTAGGGGGAGGCRTCTATTAATTATTTTAGCTTCAAGTGCGGCGTCTATTTGAGTGAGTCGTCTATTCGGGAGCGGCGTTTATTCGAGTGAATACGGTATGTCTCTCTTGTTCTTCCTTTCATCACCTTYTTTCCACATTTTTTTCATTACATCTAATCATCTCTCTGTCACTATGATGCCAAGTAACATACCTTGGGACCGGTCAGACCGTTAGATCCGGTAGGGCCAGCAGGTCCTTGTGATCCCTACAATCAGGGTAATTATAACATAACATTAATCCCTAGCATGCACATACAATACTAACATCTACAACAATGATTATGTAACTAAATAATCCCTATAATAGCTATTCCGCGTTCAGATCGTCTCAATCATGTTATTGCGCAGTGCTCTCCCTTCCCCAATGAATTATAATAAATATCATTAATGACACTTACAGCGCTTCCTTTCTCCCCTGCTACTCCATCTGCGCCTGGAGAACCCTGGAACAYAATTCATACCTGTAAATTGTGGGTGTTATGATATCTACAGAASAAAGCGTTACTTACCGGAGAACCTCGATCTCCTGTGGGGCCAGGCGGTCCGGGGTTACCAACATCTCCCTATAAGATAGACATTGCATATCTACATATAGCACTGGTCCTTAAACAATCAAACCCTTAATTATTMATATCATGACTTACAGGTACTCCTCGTGGTCCAGCAGGGCCATCGGGTCCAGGGTCACCCTGTTATCATAAATTGTCGATTAAAAAACGSGGTTTTAGCACACAAGGGCATCAATGGAAGGAAATATTTACAGCTACAGCTACGTAAAAAATAAAACTCACTCGAGGACCACGGCTACCAGGAATACCTTGAGGACCAGGTACGCCTGCATTTCCCTGATAATAATTCATCAATCAGTAAAGCATAAGTATGTAAGTATTATTAGAGGCCTTATAAGCCATTAACAGTAACAGCATTGTAAGGCTACCTTTTGACCGGGAGGGCCTTGGTTTCCACGCAGACCCATGGAGCCCTGTTGATATATAAATTGTTGTATCATTTCCATCGTGATAGCTAATGGCGGCCAGTATTATGCGTGATCTTACCTTGGGACCAGCAGGGCCGGCTGGGCCAACTGCACCTCGGGGACCTTGTACGCCCTTTAAAATTGAACTAGAGTTAATACTAGAGTAATAMGGATTCACAAAATATTTATTAAAAGTAATACCCTCTCTCCAGATTTGCCTTGCTTTCCCTGAGTTCCTTGAGATCCCTAAATCAGATAATCATTTCGGACTTCAATAAATATTAATATAAACGCATTTATCAATTGTTCAATGAACAACTCAGACAGTCAGCCATTCAATGTAATTTCTACCTTTTCACCAGTGATTCCCCTTCGTCCCTTTTGACCTTGGCGACCAGGCCTTCCCTAAAATAAGTTTTMAAATTTATGTTACAAACAGAACTACGACCCTTTAACTCAAATGTACACACCCTRGGGCCTTTTTTGCCTGGCAGTCCAAATTGACCTTGAGCACCGCGATCGCCCTAAAACGAGAAATGTGATTGATCAAACAACTACATACTATATGTATACTTCATATTCATATCTTTACATACTATATGCAATACCAAAACACGCAATAAAATGTAGTGTCAATTGTAACAAAATACAAAGCAGGCCGTTTGAATTAAATTAATACCACATTACAACAGTGAATACTGAGAAACATACAGAGAAGTATATTTTTGTTTGACAAATCTTTCCCAGTCAAATGAAAATAACTTTAATGTAAATTACGATTAGTCTTTTTTACCTTGTCACCATTTTTGCCAGGAGGCCCAGCACGACCAGGCAGACCTTCTTCACCCTGTGAAAATAGCATGGACGTAACAGCATTGCCATGGGTTTATCGGACAGTATTGCATGACATGGCTGTGGAATGCACGTGACAATGAAAGGTGTCTAATGCTATCTTAATGTTAGTTATCTCTGGTTTTCATGAACGAGCAGATGTACTGAATMATAAAATAAAAGAGTTATTTMACATCGTTTCGTACTTACGTCTTTCCCAGGTCGCCCAGGATCTCCAGATGGGCCGGGTGGTCCTGATGGTCCCTAAAAACATAAAACCAATTATCAATACTCGTACGCAATTGTTTCGCTTTCGTTTGTATTTAAAKCCGTTAATATTCTGTCAATGGAAATGAGATGATAGCGAGTAGACAGGACTAATTCTTGCATTGAACATATTTCGACACATGTTTGTTTCTGATGACACAACATAGAAAATACATAGCGAGYGCATTACAGTGTTCATCTTATCATTACAAGAGTGATTTGCTGATRCTTACAACATCGCCACGTGTACCCTTTGGYCCTTGATCACCTGGTTCACCGTCATGTCCCTAAAACACATTGGACAACTTTAATAAGATGCCGCTGTTCATCAATATTAATTATATCTATTAAGGTGTGAGTACCGGTTCTCCACGAGGTCCAGGTCTTCCCATTAGTCCTGAAGGTCCAATACGACCAACATGACGTAATCCTGATGCCTGATAAGAAAACATAACCATCAAAGTAACAGTAAAGTTTCAAACCAGCAAAGTCTCCCACGCTACTAATAACTAAAATACCCACTACTAAATACCAACCCACTACTTACAATCTGGTGCTGCATGCCAACTACTAAATACCAACCCACTACTTACAATCTGGTGCTGCATGCCAACTACTAAATACCACCCACTACTTACAATCTGGTGCTGCATGCCAACTACTAAATACCAACCCACTACTTACAATCTGGTGCTGCATGGATGTCCATATGGTGATGATTTGGTCCAATTCTTCTTGTGTCAAAACTGTTCCAACTGGGGCCTGAAATTATAAAATACCCCCATCACTTGCATCATAACTAACGCTTTTAAGGCGCTTATTCATGCTCAATTGAAGTTTGGTAAGTCGTTTGTGCCGTAGTCAACGCCTTATTACACTTACACCAATAAGGGTAATGCCAGGTGGCCCTGAAGGGCCTGGTGTTCCAGCATTTCCAGGAGCTCCAATATTTCCACGAAGTCCCTAAATAACATAAGGCATTGAGGATTGTATGTTATAAAATCAACGTATTTGAAAATTTGATCTCATGTCAGTCTTTCAGGAAAACAATAATACGATAATTGAGACAATTGATTTTATACAAATATACCTGGTTACCCATATCGCCATTTGGTCCTTCGACTCCTCTCTCCCCCTATAAACAAAAATGAACTTGTTTTGTATATATTGCCATATTAAACCAAGAACCGTTGTCTATCCATTGAACATATTTGAAGAAGCCTCACTTAATTTGTGATTTCTTACCAAGTTACACTTACCGGAGGACCAGAAGCGCCTGGACGTCCAGGAAGGCCAGGGATACCAGATTGACCAACGCCAGGCAATGTCTAAGGAAACGTTTAAACAAAACATGAGCCCGAGTCAGCATAACCCTACTTATAAAATGAAGGTCAATCTCACTTCGTTGCAGAACGTATCAGGAGGGCAATTGCATCTACACCCTCTTTCGCATTTACACACGTTGGGTCCAGAAGGTAGCTGTCTCCTGAAATATACAACAGTTTACACTTGTAATGGTGTTTAATATCAGCTTAATTCGCTAGTTGGTAGGACAAATGGATTTGTAATTGAAAGGTTGGTTTGTATGCAAGTTGAATTGTTATAAGCTGGAGTTTTGCTGTGCAATTGCTGAATTCATCCATGGACTTTCGTAGATGTGTGTAATCATTATTGGTTCACTTACTTTGCTCTGCCGCCTCTTTGTAAGGAGTTCGATAATTTAAGCTACAAAAATACCGGTCATGTGTTAGTATAAAATCTGTGCAGATCCACGAGTAGTCAATTTATAAAAATCTACTCACTCGAATCAACTCTAATTCATCAGCTTGAGGTAACGCTATGAACAGAAACGATATCCTGTTATGTTACAATCTTGTCACACAATTCAATTGATACCAYGCTATCTATTTTTTGTGACATAATCAGTTAATTCTTCGTCATGCAATATGTAAGTCAAAAATGTTTGGTGCCGCGAGAATGRATGGCTCGATCTCAACGATTCAAAATATGGACCAAATTAAAATTGCTAAGCATGCAACAGTATAATAAGATTATATTCAACCATTTTAAACGCAAGAAACAAATATATACCTATTGTGAAAGAGCTGCATATTTTATGTTTTTAACATGAGAAGATACGTGAAATCAATTCTTCCACTACTTTCATGCATAACCCGTTGTTGCTGTATTATTTCAGCACAATAATTGTTATCGCTTCCACATGACCGAAGGTAAAGATCGTTCGGGAGTTCATAACATTAATCAAATATCTGTGGCAATTTGTCCAAATATAGTATATTCTTAAGTAACCATCAATGAGAAGTCCACACAAAAAATCTACCCCAAAAAGAATGACGCACTCTAGACTTCGTTGCAACTTTATGTAATGTAAGGTTCAACAGTAGGACAAGAAAATATAAATAAGGTTCGCTAATATTTATTACTTTAATGCTTCATTTTAAAGCAAGACAAAGGACATGGTTTGTATTATGTCAAATTAATATTTCTCATACATTTCACATGGATTTACAACTTCGCTGCAAAGGCTCAAAAGGTCAATGCTGATATCGATGAAGTCTGAAAGACTGGTGTAATCGTAGATATTACTGCCATGTTTTAAAAACACGGCCTTTCATTGATTAACTCAGGMTTATTCTCCCAATATTAATTTTTATTTGCACCCATAGAGGAATTGAAATAGCAATCACCACCGTAMCGGTATTTATTTGAAGAAGTAGTGGTTGCCAGTAGACTTGGCTGTTAGAGATTCTCGTCTGTAATTACATACTAGTAAATGTGGCGGACATAGTACAGGACTGAGAGTGACCCGCACAGAAGGGTCTTTATAATCATTGACAACTTTCACATAAGAAAAATCATACTTCCACCATYAATCAAAGCGCAATTGCAAGAATATTGCTATAATCGTGTACACCGTGAATTGATGTGMAATATTTGATAACTATTTTGAATGCTCTGGCATAGTGCTGAAACTAATCATTATAAATACTTTGATTTGTAGACAGTAATTAAGAGAAACGAATTGTGACCGGCGTGTCCACGCAATACCATAATGGAAAATCAATTTGAATGCCCTTCTTGATGCATAACGTGATTTCAATTGTTTGCTAATGTACAAACACGAAATTATACCATCACTATGCCATATGCACGACTGTTAAAAATACATAAAAACCCAATAATACGTAATAATTTTATTATCTAATGAAAATGAACAGTATTTCAGTCAAATATTAATAAATGCTCAAGCGGTTTATACAACAGTCCTCTATTGTTTGGTCATTAAGGCCGTACAGGCATTTCTGATGGACCTAATGCCTAACAACGGGTCATTATAAGGAGCCTTTGTACGCTAACGATTATTGATGTTTCCTTTATCAAGGACTAAAAGTAATAAGGTTACTTACCTTGTGCAACTAAACAAATTCCACATAATAATCCTGCAATCCACCAGATCGGTAGTCTCCGCACAGCCATACTGTAGTCCGGCACACTCCCAACTGAAGAAACCTTGCAGTAGTTGTGCGTGCTATTTAGACCGTGTTCTTCCTAGGGACTGTCAGTAGCAACTGTAGAATCCAAGGCTACATATGCTACAGATCGCCCTATTCAATGCACACGGCTGAGAGCGGACTAGAGTGAATATGGATTGGAATGTACCCAGAAATCGTGGCAGTATCCAGCCCCCTTTACTGCATACTTGTGTAAATTTATTAGGCGTATCAGGTGTTACTGATTAAATAACCCTTTCTCTTCACGACAACAAAAGGCGCTTAGACACCAGTGCGACGTCTACATAGCGCTACGCCGAGGCTCCCTGCAGATATTGTGTAACGCAATCCGTCACGCTATATGCTTAACACAGGGAACCCATCCAGAAAACGATCCAAACCTACAGCAGCTACGGTTTTATGCTTAGTTGGCCTGAAAGTCACAAGAACTTTTCAATGACTTCGGTTAAACTGTAATTTCTACTAGAAAAGTGCTTGGGAGACCGTCAAGCAATATTTCACTGAAAAAATCTCGCACTGATTTTACAGTAGCCGCAAAACAAGAAGCACAACGTAAATCGATTCGATGCATCGATTTCCTGAGATGGTTTTTAAACGAATCAAAATTTTAAAAAATTTTGTTGCTCGGTTGATGACTCGAAACTATGATGAGCAGCAGGATGAGTCAGAATTGGTGATCAGTGTGACCACATCCATACCATTGCCCTGTCATAGTCGGCTATAAAACGCAGGGTTGACGTATGGAAACGGAAGTAAAACTACCAATGTTCTTGAGTTTCGGGAAGTATTGTCATGCTCTATGTTGCATTAGTAAACGCTCTAAACCCGTGAAATCGACCAAAATCAAAATAAATCACAAAATCACAAAATTTATCGGCAACTGAAGCAGAACAGCCTTTGAATCACCATTATTCTTACTAAWTTGCAAATTGCTACATTTTTGACAGTTTTTGTCGTATACTGCTAAACTTAAACTTTTGCAAATTAAATAATTTAAAAACGAACCTGATTAAATAATCATTGACAGTAAAATGAAAAAAAACTCACAGCATTCGGCTGAACGATCTATATGGAAAGACCCGCCTGCCTCTTTGCAATTAGATTCTGTACGTTGATGTAATGTGTCTCTGCTAGTATTATTCTGTTGCCAGACCAAGACTTCCAAGCCAGACCCGGATACAATGCAAACAAATATTTGAACAGTATCTTCGTATTATAAATACCACGCCCAGCTTTAATTATTTGATTGGTGATAAGCTCAATCTTCAAGACCCTACATCTGAACTTCGCATTTAATACTTCAATCCTTCATAAATCGAGGAATCGACTGTTAGCACAAAGATAAAAAAAGAATGGTTCCCAAGACCCTTCAACGATGTACATGTCTACCAAAGACCACCAAAAAGGACACTTTACAGTTTATTTTTGTAGAAGACACCACAGCTAAGGCTTTGTTGCTAAAATAGTGTTTATCAAAACAACGTTTGGCTTAAATCACGGTCTGGTTAATTTGAATAGATGTAGTCGCCTTGGCTAAATCAATAAAACACTCAATTGTATTCACAACAAATAATACAGAGGTGAGTCAATATCATSAGATACCTCAGGATATTATGTCGGCTTAAGAAAGAAAATAGATCCCGATCGACTGAACGAAWTTTAACAAATTATCATTTWGCTAATTAACTGACGGGGTCATATTGACACGTGACCTGTGATTAGTCTGATAGGGTGACGTCATGGGCGAGGTGTCCTCATATATTGGATTCCATAATCCATCTGACAATAGCTAAGTAATCGGCCGGCGACTTGAGCACTTTGTTGCTCATAAAATTGCCATTCKATCAACAGACCAGCTATTCCACAGTGCCTGATTTACATACACTCATACCATTCGATGARTACAGAGCTACACGAACGGTGAACAGGACATTTAAGGTAGGACTAACACTATTTCAGTAATGTGAAGCAYATTAGGATTATAGCGAAGTATAAAAATATGATAACAAAGCTCATGTACACTGGTAAATATGCGAAGTCTGGCTGTATTGGACACGGCTCATTACATCTTGCTTCTTGATTGTTCGTCTTTGTACACACAGCACGTTTTCTATAACAGTACAAAACTGCGTGGTTCTTGGTGTAAAATTCCGTTAGATCAATACGAATGGAYCTTAATTAGCGTGATTTAAGCGAAATTAGATATGTATATCACTGTTTGCTTGGTAATTTTCATATTTGAGTCTCGCATGAAGTTTGTCAATAGACTTGTTTCGACATATTTCTTGTTCGCAGTGATATCCTTCTTCACATGTTTGTAGTTCTTTACCTTTCATCATCTCTGCGCGATACAAAAACACATAYAAACTGTATCCGTCAAAAAAAMCTCGTTTTCTATTGTCATTTGACAGATAACCCAATCTATTTCTGTATGTATTTAGGATTAGATCGATTATTGAATACTTTTGATGCTCTAATATTAGTCAAGCTAATATGAGAAGCTGATTCAGTGATATCAAAAATCCAGGCCATGACACCAAATGGTTGAGTATAACTCCGTTTGACAAGTCCAGCAATAATGACGTTGMGCCAAGATGGCATATCTTGTCGGTGCACTTTGATTTCTATGTTTGTCCAGTAGAGCAACCATGTACCTCAACTTTCCAACTTGCTCCATTTTTTCCACCTTGGTATCTTATTGAATTATTAATTTCTGAGGAATATAAAACGTGACATTGGTATCCCTTGCACTTATATGATTTTTTTCGAATAATTTTAGCTCAGGCACCGGAAGTGGTTCAAAACCCACATGTTTCCGGTTTGAGGTTTCGTAGAGTGAGTTCATTGTGCCTTTGTTTATCTATAGATAACTCGTCCAARAAGAAGAACTTATTAGACAGGCAGTTGCCTTTAATTGCCTCATGTCACGCCATGTCAGGAAAGAGTAAGCTAAGCCGTTCTTTTCCTGCTAGAGTGAAAGGCGAATCCAAGTCACGCTCCCAACTGCCTTTTAAAAGGTAAGTGCGCGCAKACATGGTAATACTAGATGAACTCTTGCCTTGAAACTGCTGTCCTGAACTCGCGTGCCACTTTTTGAACCTACTCTTCGTCCAACTTTTACCAGTATTCTGATTGGTCGACAGTTTATTGCCTACTTTGAAGGCGCCATCTGTATCCTCATAATACATGATACGTTTGTCATTAGATCATGTTTAGACACCTAAGAAAACATGTTCATGTTCATTGACATATGCCRCTGACACACAGGTCAGTAATTCGAAAATGCATTATCCCTCTTTTTTAGGTTCGCAGATTTCTTGACTCTGAAAAGGAAAAAGAAAAAGCCTGATGATGGATCGAGTTCACTGGAAAAACAGCCTTGGTTCCACGGGAAAATAAATGCTGAGTACGCAGAATTATTRATTAAAAAGAGTGGTGAATTCCTTGTTCGTGAGGATCCAGCAATGCCAGGGACCTGTTTCATAGCCGTGAGAGTGAAAGACGTGCCATTACACTTAGCTATTAATAAGCTCAAATCATCTAAAGGCACCCGCTTTAAATACAGAATCGAAGATTCAGACTTTGTGTTCGACAGTATTTCGGAACTCATTCGTTTTTATGTGAACGAACGACGCCCAGTTTGTATCAGACCCCCCGCGGTCATAACGATAGCCGTAAGTCGGGAAGCCGTTCTTCTGTCTGAAGAAGACTTTCGAGGAAGGTTTGCTACGGCTGGAAGTGCCAGGCTWAGTCGCACTAGCAAGAAACTAGAAAGAAAATCAAGTGATCCCAACCTTTCTACTCGCGTYCCTTCGAGACTTTATGAAGAAATTGATAACCCACCGTTAGAAGCTCGGTACGGTACGAAACCTGAACGACCAAAAATGGCGGTAAATGGTAGCGCACCTTTAAAAATCGAAAAAAGAAAAAATTCTGCAGATCGTTCGATCCAAACCTCACCTCGATCAAGATCGATGGATAATGTACTTGATGATTCGGCCAGCGAATTAAACGACTGGGCATCACCWGCAACAACGTATGACAGCCCAAGAAGCATCACCACGCCCACTTCACCTCCMTTTAAAACACCATTTACACAACAGGAGAAAAAGCGCAAAAATGTTGACCCTAGTATGCTTGAATGCGATGTGGACTATGCAACACCATCGTCCATTCCTGCCGAACAAGAATATCAGGTACCAAACAATTCGTTGACGTATGATGTCCCACGTACGAGTGAGAGCGAGGACTCACACAGAAAAGACGAAGAGATAGAACCAACTAATACAGACTCAAACCACGAGAAAGGAGCCGATATTGAATCGAAAAGTAAGATGCAAGATGAAAGACATAATCTTTATCTGACTGTAGTAAGCAMGTTGTGCGACACTCTCGTAAAACCGCTTTTACGTCACGATTGTGTCACGCTAGCTCGTCACCTTACTAAAGCAGATCTTGAAGTAGTTTGGAATGAAAGTGATGCTGAAGATGATGACGGGGGAGCACTGGGACTGGAAAAGCTTGTCCTTCCACAAGGACGAGAGAAACGATGCGCTATCTTGGACAGGTTTGTTATTTTCCCATTATCAATGTCGCTCATCAGTCATTCTACTACGCAATAATAGTCACCAATCCATCTATTCAATAGTAACTAACATTAGCTTTGAATAAGCAAGATGTTCGCTATTAATCCATKAAGCATTTCGTAGGTACCAACAATTGACATACTGGACTGGGGCACTGGTCATAGTTGCTGGGGAAATGTCTGCGCGAGCTGAGATGGTTTCAAAGCTTATTGAATTAGCTGATGCATTAAGTGACAAACTTGGTAACCTCATGTCATTTATGGCAATCATGGAAGGTCTAGCTTTGGCTCAGGTATGGAATTTCTGCCATATACATGGATCTCCTAACAACCATATYTGTTTACCCATCATTTCTCTCACGCAAAATTGCGCAGCTTTGCAGGCTGCTCAGTTAACAATATGATTATGTTACCATAGGTAAGCCGTCTCCATCACACTTGGTCGWGCTTGCATCATCAGTTTTCATCTTCAGCAGTTCTCATTCAGAGCACCTTGAAGCCTTTGGCGGGACTTTTATCATCAGGTGCTCCTAGCCCTTTCCCTGGCRTCTGTTTGCCTTATTTGGTCCCATTGGCTCAACTGCTTGAATCCACAAACGAATCAAACCTTGATGAGTTGACTGACGACGACGAACACCATGGTATCGAGGTTGTTCTTGCTCATCTTAGTGCTGGTAGAACACTCATTCAACAAATTGACGCTTTTCGAAGTGAAGCCRATTCAAGGCTGACATTTGAAGGAGAAGACACAAATCTAATGAAGTATTTTCGCGACGGTATCGACGTCAGTAAAGTGCTAGGAGTCCATGCAGAYTCTTTGTCCAGAATACACAAACTGACGACTTTATTGAACTGGTTGTCAGAAAATGTTGAGAGTGGAAATACGCARTAATTGCATAAAATGGTGAAAATACTTGAAAATGATATACGCCAAATATAGAATGCTTTTACCAAATATGGTAACACAAAAGATAAACTTCAGATAAAAGTTCAGCTTTTAAATTAAGTAGAATTCTGTTGTAAATATTTACAAGATGCCCTTGACAATGTTGTTCTGATGAAGGAGTCTTTTTGGTTATGTTGTGAATTGACAAAGAAAATATTATAAATTAAGTTATAGCAAATAATGAAAATTATTGGTTAAATATTTTGTAATGAATGTTTGAAAAGTGTTCTTGTTAAATTACATTRACAAATGTATAATATACATTTTTTTACCTCATAATTTGTAAAAATAAACACAATACATTTTTGMAACCTTGCAGTTGCCTTTGTTGTAAGTCTTCTTATCTGTTTTTTTGAAGTAGTTCTGCACAACACACCACATTTTCATGCATATTTTTCGTTTGCTACTGATAAGTGTTCAGCAGCTTTTTCMWATCCTTTGTCTGCTACTTAAACCTAGTAAATTTGTGTAGTAATTACATCGTCGTCATCAGAATCATTGCCAAACACATCATATGTMTCAACATCATCATCACCTTCAAGCATTTCTAGGAAACTCTTGACCTCCTCATGTTGCTCCCATGGTATACCAGAGTCTTTCTCAGCACTCTGATGATCCTTTTTAATGTTCTCCAGAAAAGACAAGGTATGTTTGACTAGAATATCACGTATCTTATCCAAAGATCCAGGGACAACCCATCCCTCCTTTTCATGGCATTCTTCTTCCTGAACAAAAAGTATTACAGACCAGTAAGTAGAACTGGACAATATTAATTGTAGCATGTTATGCTTAATAATAATAAGGTGCCTGTACATTAACTGTAAATTAGAGAAGCTATTATCTTTGCTACTATTGAAACTTACCTGCCCATCATTGGCAGTTATAATCTCTTGAACTTCTGCAATGTGTAAATCACATAGCTGATAAAAGACATTTCTATATACAGGTAATTTGTTGGAGGAGAAAACATAAGGTAAATCATCATCCTGTCTATCCTCCTTCTCCTCAGTCTGGTTCAAATTTACTGTTCGTCTCTCTGTGATTAATGGTTTTCTTAAAAATGGTAAATTATAATGATGATGCCTTTTCGTTGGGATGGGAATGTTCTTGCCAACTCTGCGGGCTCCAATTCTGAAGTCAATCAGTTGGTATCTGATGAAATAAGAACTTTTTTAAAGCTCTAATTTGCACAATTGCTTTTAAAAATATAAACTTACATCTTAGAACTAGGATCTTTCCTTGGATCATATCCTATCTTAACCCATAATGATCTCCAAGGCCCATTTGTACAATAATATGCAACAAAAGACAGAAGCTGTTTTAGTTTTYCTTTGTTTACAGTCATGTGTGCATGTAATGCCATACGGGACCATATAGGGCGGATGTTAAACAGTTTGTGAATGACTTCTACGTTGTCGTCCTGTATAGTGGCTAAAGCTTCAG